ATGATTAAGAAATTTAATGGGGGGGTCAAACATACTGAGCAGAATACCAGTACTGCACTACATGGCACACCTGGGATAGAAATAGCTGCTGAAATCCATGAGGTTATCCTTAATTTTTGCATTTTGAGGGAATTGTGAAAAAGCTATCACTTGCTGAATGCCCTCTTTGCCTCCAAATCCAGAGTGCTGTTGTCTCTGCCAGACAAACCACCTGTAAGTGCTTCTGCTTACTTCTCTGGGATCTTCATCAGTCTCCAGAGCGAAGCATGGTCCAAACAAGTCTTTTGCATGCTGGTGATATGGCAGAGAATGAATGGTGTAAATGTCAAGATTATGAGAAGTACTGCAGCCAAGTGATGACTGCTTGGAAAGAAAAGAACCTACAGAGAACACATGGGTTCTCTCAAAGGCAGTGTGGCTCAACTGTTCAACAGAGACATTTAGAGGTACAAGCATTCACCTTTATGTTCAACATTGTCATCTCTGTCCCAGTCAGTGCTGGGAGGCCACAGAGGCCAATCCTGCTTCTTAAGACTACCATGTTTGTTTGTTTTTTTTAATGTCTAAGATTTTACTATGTTTAAGCACAGAGGTGGGCTTCATAAACTCCTTTGCTCCACCTGAAACCCCTCTCAAACCTGAAACCCCCTTTTGTGATGAAAGCAGAGCTCCCACCCCAGGATGGACACTGGGCAATGTCTAAGTGATGGGAAACTGAGCAGGATTGAGAGTTACAGCAGCTTCTGGCCAAGAAGGTGTTGGTCACAGATGTGCACTTTGGGGCACGACCAGGGGAGACATCCTGAGAGCAACTATCCCCTGCCAGAGATACATGACATGTGAGCAAGCTCAGATTTCTCAGGAACCTGAACTGGATCTGTTTTGCAACAGACAACTGTCCGTCTAGGAAGGGACAGGGAATCAGCTTTTAACATCATTCGCACTTCAGACAGAAATTCAGTATCCCCAAGCCTCATCTAAAATTGAAAAGTGCCTCCAAAGGAATTGTTTGTTGCTTTGTTTGCAAAAAGTGCAAACAACACATCAGAGAAGCAAAAATGCCTTGGTGGATTGTTTGGCTGCACACTTAGTCAGGGTATATTGTAATGAGCCATATGCTAGCTTTGCATAGTATTATGGGGTAAGCCAGCTGCAACGAGCAGCTGATTAGTCTGGTTGGAAAAAAATCTTCATTTTCTGTAACAGGGGGCCAGCAAAGGCAAGCATTCTGGCAGATACTGTCAACCCTCTGACTGCTCCTGTCATTGTGCTGTGGACCAGATGAAGTTAAGAGATCAAGAGAACCTCTGCTTTATTTTCATTCTAAAGGAGGGACCCCTTCTTAGCCCTGGACTTGTTTAATAGTAACAGGTTTTATGAACCATAACCCTTTTATATTCCTGTGGAAGAGATTCCCACCACTCTTCCTATTCTCACTGCCATTCTCACAGCTGCAGTAAGACCTCAGTTCTTTTGCCATTCAGTGCTCAGCATTCAGCACAGCTGATGTGGTAGAAACCTCCTGTGAGGTGGGGGTGGAGGCCACGAGGAGATGGGAACCTGATGAAGTGCAAGATTGCACAAGTGGCAGCAGGACTGCAAATGTCCTTTCTGGCCCAAATGCTGTCTCTTGCTGTGGCCAAAAGCTAATGCCTACATAGGAGTATCACAAGAGAAGGCAAATATTTCCTTCAGATATCTGCTTTGAGCAATTTGTCTCCTGGGGACTTTTCAGAGTCAGAGATGTTTCCTTTTTTAGATAAACCTCAGAGGAATTTTATACTGTTTAGTACTTGTTGATCCTTCACTTGAACCCACTTATCTTCTGTCATCTACAGCAGCCTGGCTACAGAGTCTCATATCTAACTCACACTATCCACTCATGGATGACCTGAAACTTCCTCCATCAGGAACAGAACTTCTTCAGATCTCACCTGTGCCAACTGCTGAATCAACAATTTGTGTGGGCACCTTTGAATGGAGGTAAGCAATCCCCAGCCAGAAGGTGGGAACATCAGAAGTTCTTTTAAGGTCTTTTTTAAAACTACTATTGATTGTGTTTCCAAAGAAAAATGACTGGCCATTATCAGAATCTACTACAAAAGAATATAGCAAATCTGGAAACAACATCAGTGAACCAGAATGAGTTTTTAGCTCTAAAACACTGATTTTACTTTTTTATTATTATTATTTTAATTTTTTGTTTGTTTGTTTGTTTCCCAGAGAGGAGCATAGCTTAGGGTTATCCCTTTGCATTTACGTATATCTAGTACTTTGAATGCTCTGGGTCATCATTACATACAGACAGAAAAGGGCATAATATATCTGGAACTATTATTTCAGAAAGGCTGAAAAAGAAGCCATGCAGCTGTCTCAGTTTTGGGTTGCCCAGATGAATTTGATGTTTAAGCCTCTAATGGAACAAACCCATGAAGCAGTAGTAACAGGGAAAGGGTTGGGAGCGATGTGGAAAAACCTAGAGGGCACCACATTTATGGCTGAGTAAGAAGCCTGATTTGCTCTCATTAAAAGAAAAATTCCCCACAGACAGGATTATTAAGAGTATTCTTATTTGACATGGTTATTAATGAGGAGGAGGGAGCAAATTCTACATTAATGAACTTCACAGACAGTAATTCTCTGGAAAGATCTGAGGGCTCCAGCAAGGGCAGATCATTGGCTAAGTGGAGTGCAGTACTATTGTTGACTGAAACCTCTAAGTATTGCATCCAATCATCTCCAGAACCACTGGCCTCATGGGGCACTGGCCTTTCATTGCCAGTGAGTTTTTCTTAACTTGTCCCCATTGGCTCTTGTCCTGTTGGAAGGCAGCACTGAGAAGGGCCTGGGCTCCTCCTCTTCATTCCTTTCCATCACGTTATCTACACACATTGTGAAGTTCTTCCCTGAGCCTTCTTAGCTTTAGGCTAGACAGTACCATCTCTTGGCCTTGCCTTTCATGACAGACGCTCCAGTCCCTTAATCCCCTTCATGGCTCTCTGCTGGACTCAGTTTGGGAAGCAGCAGCACCAGAGGAGACAGCTCCCTGACAGCTGTTTTCCCCAGGCACAGGGCATTGTTGCACAGTGTTGATATGTGTAAGGCCAACGCTGTAACTTCACTATGGTCGGGCCTGGAAGCTGAATCAGAGGTGTTATCTCAGCAGAGGCGTGGCAGGAGCAGAGCAGAGGCATCATCTGGAAGGCAGCACCGCATGGAGGGGAATACAGAAAGCTGACTGTTCTTAATTGCTGCCCCTATAGCAGGCAGAGCCTGGAGCTTGTGTGCCTGTAAGCAAGCAGGGAGCATAGGGAGGAAAACCTCCAGGCAGGATTGCTGGAGGTCCCAAGTGAGCCAAAGATGAGAAGTGCCAGGGAATGCAGGGTGCACTCGGGGGGCAGTACAGTCCTGACATGTACCACATCCTTCCCCATGGTCTGTTCACCTTGGCTCAAGAGCCAGGGAGGAGCTGGGTGTTGATGGTAAAGCTCCCTGTTACTGGACAAGCTGGAATAAAGCTGTGGCTGCCACAAAGTGTGGCTGAACTGGCAAGAATGGGAAGGATGCAGCGGAGATGAGTGCAGAACTCCCAAACACAAGGACATGTCCTCCACATCTTAGCTGAGCAATAAAATGAGACAAGTGCAGTTGGGTGAACAGCAAAAAGGTCCTGACATTTCAGAAATCCTTTGCTGTTTTGCCTTTAATCAATCTGTACTAAGCCTCAAATATGAAAAGAAGTGCTTAGGGCAAAGGTGAATTTCATTTTAAGAGTAAATTGCTTTGATGATTGTCGATTTGCCAAGATTTTTTCAGCACAGAAATGGTATTATTTCCCAGGCTTCTGGCATGGTCCTAAAGGTCATAGCTCATGACAACTCTCTTTCTTTCTATTGTTCATACAATAAAAGCTACAAGCATAAAGATGTTGCTGCTGCTTCTCGGTACCGCTAGGTTAAAAAAGTCTCAACAATATAACTTGTTTCGTGTTCCTGGAGCTATATTGTAAAGGTGTAATGAAAATGGACCATGAAAAGATCATTGCCATTTTGCAAGATGCCTATTTCACTTGTATTTATCTCCTTTCCCTTCTCTATGCAGTAGAGTTCATGCTCCTTCCCAAACTAGTCCCATGTCTCTTTCTAAGTGAGAACTTCTACCCCATGGAGGCTCTCAATTTTTTTTCCATAAAATACACTACAACTACAGTTTTGTGGAAACTGGTGTAACAGAGAGAGGCACGTCCTCACCAGGCATTAAATCAAGAACAGCAAGATTTGTGTGGGTGCTGAACTGACCTCTAGTGGCACCTACACAATAGCCTTATGGCAGAATGTCAGATTCGGGTTTTTTTTTTCCCCCAACTATCGGCAGGTAGGCCATGAAGCATCATTGCAGAGTATTCCACAGCTGAGGTGTGTCTGCATTTTGGGGTCCGCTGTGAACTGACAGAAGTTAACTGTGTGGGTACAGCTTCCCACGGTAAGTGCACACTGGGACTCCACTGTGCCTTCCTGGATGACCCTGGACGGCGGGAGCGCAGCTGCTACGTGGACAATGCCATAAAACCGGGAACACCTCGCCAGCACGGACCCAGGGCAGCCTTCTCGCCCAGCGTGCTGCCCTGATCTAAGCAAGGGTGCGGAGTGCCCTTTCCCCTTGCCAAGAGCTGTGCCCAGGTGTGACGGCAGGAAACACATCCCCCAGCGCCGAGCTCACTGTGAGGGCCCGGCCCGAGGCGCTGCCGCCGCCCGCCGCCCCTCACGCCCCATCCCAAACCGCTGAATCGCGGCCCGCGCGCCTGCGCTGAGGCCGCGCGCGTTTCCGCTTCCCCGCCGGGCGCCCGGGAAGGAGGGAGGCGGCCGCATCCCGGCTGCTCTCCCCGGAGCCTGCGCATGAGCGCCGCATCGCGCCTCCCGCCCTTCCCTCCTTTCCCTCCTCCTCCTCCCTCTCCTTCTGCTCCAGCTCCGCGAGGGCCCGGCCGCCACTCCGCGCCCCGCCCCGCCCCGGGAATGCGCTGCTCGGCGGCCGCTCGAAGGAGCTGCGCGGCGGGCGGGGAGCGGGATGGAGGTGGAGGAGGCGTTCCCGCTGGTGGGGCAGATGGGCCCTTACCAGGTGTACCTGTGCGTCCTGCTGGCTGTGCTCCTCCAGGTGAGAGGCCGCCCTTCCCGCCCGCTCCTGTCTGCTGTCCCGAGGGGGAAGCAGTGCCGGGAGGGGGATGCTCTGGCTGCGGTGAACAGCTGTTCCCAAAGTGTTGGCTGGATGTCCCTGCGGGGAGTGCTGCCCGCTGCGAAGGCTGCTGCGGGAGGGCTTCTGCTGGGGGCTGCTGTGGCACTAACGCGTCCTCCCCTCTGGGACTGTCCTGCAGCAGCGTGCTGCGCTCCTGGGACACAGGTGAGCTCTGCCCAAAGGCAGCGCTCAGTTGTGCGGAGTGAATTTGGGGCAGGCAGCTGATGCTCTCTGCGCCGCATTTCCTGGGCGGGTACACCTTGTGCCACTCGGGGAGCACTTGAGGAGCCGGTCAGGTGAAGGGCTGGCTGAGGTTAAACGGAGGTTTCCGTGATCTGGACTGGAAGACGTGGAGTTCTGTAAGAGGCGCTGCTGGGAATCCTGCGCAACCTGGAGTTTATGGGCTAGGCTGGGAATTCCTAGGTTGCATGTGGCTTGGTTGTCACTGATAAAGTGACAGGTGGCCACTGATACCTCTGTGTGCAGAAGCTCTCGTGTAACCAGCTGACAGGTGATGATTGCTTATGGTGCTTTGATTTGCCCTGACTTAACTCTTAGAGTACAGGGGCAGTGTCTCTCCATTAGGTATTGGATGAGGCCCTGCATTTTGGGTAGTCAGGTTTGTGAGATACAAAGCTGGAACTCTCTTGAGTTTCGTGATAGAAGTGGAGTCCAAAATAACAGGAGAGTGCTAGAGGAGAGAACACTCTTCTAGTGCTCTAGAAGAGACAGGCTCTCTGGAGAGAGAGTTTCAGAGCCTGCAAGTACAACTGATGTGCTCTGCAGCCATGTTTGTCACCTTTCAATTTCGTTTCATCTTTGTGCATTTTCCTGTGAAGACAGGAAAGGAAGAGAAGAATAATACATGAACTGTTACAGTCAGGCGTAGGACTGAAGTATGGTTTGAATCTGAGAGAAGTCTGGTTTACCCCATGTTAGCTTCAAAAACTTTGTTGTCATGAATTCAGCTAGGCTGATATGTGCTGGGTTACTTCCACTGTGGCAATTTAATAGTTGCAGGAAGGAAGAGGGGAATATAAGTGTCCTCCCTCCTCTGCTGACCCATTTTGTACTAATCGAGAACTTCAGTCATGAGCTGTGAGACTGAAGAGATCTTTTTGTGGCAACCCCTACTTCCCCTAGACTGACCAAAATATTAAGATGCTTTATGAGATGACTGAAGAAGATTAAGATGCCCAGTCCTGTTGGATGGGAGCTCTATACTTGGTTGCAAAGTTTTGATGATAAACAGCAAAAGCTTTGTAGGTTTCTATTTCCTTGTACTGTTTGGGGTTTTTTCCTCTCTTTCTTTCATTTATACTATTTGATTTATATGATTTAGCGGATAAATTCTTTATTGCTTAGACACTGCTTATTCTGCTGGCCAGCTGGCTAGTAAATGTATATGTTCACTGAAGATTAAGAATTAAGGAGGCAGTAGTTACTTCTTTTTCCAGTGCTGGTCATGTTCTGGAATGAACTGCAAACCATGACAAGTGCTCTGTCAATTTCCAGAATTTTTAGTGTGGGTCATCTGTTCCATAATGTTTGTGTTCGTTTGTTTTGTTTTTAATGGATTAACTTGCATTTCTCATGGGACAAGTAAACAGAAAAGCCTTTGCAAATCCTGGAACTAATTCAGAATAAATAAAGAAGAATAACAGGTTTGCGGGGCTGTGTTTTTTCTTCTCATGTTATCTTTAATTCTTGAACTGTACCAATTGAGTATCATCCTCCAACTTGTAGGCTTTCTTTACTTCAGATCATGCAGGCATAGGAGTCTGTAAGGAGTTTAGATGTGAAGCTTGTTGTCTTTCAGTTCATTGGTAAATTTGGACTTATTCATCTGGTTCCTGCTTGGGTGGTTGATTGCTCTTTGTGTTCCTTTATTGGTGCCAAGTTACATAATGTGTCACTGGGAGGTGCAGGAGCACGGCTGAAGGCAGGCTCCACGACTGGTGTTAATCTTTTGTCTGTTTTATCATCAGCCTTTGGAGGATTACCCAAAGGTAAGTGATGTATCTTGTGTGTGATGTAGAATGTAGACCTAGGAAATCATGGGCTCCTGTAGTGAATTAGATGCAGCATATGACAGCAGAATGAGAATTCCTGGTAGTCTATATCACTGGCTGTGCCATGATTATTCCATTTTGTTGCTAGTTTCCCTGTTCCCTTCCATGTGCTCCTGCAGCTGGCCTACATTTTTATGTTGGCCTGTTGGGATAAAAAATATTTTTACATTCTTAAAGGTAAGAACACCCAATGTGTGAAAATATTTGTCTGCTGTGTCAAGTCCCTTCATCATTGTAGCCAATATCCAGAGCTTACACTCTGCTTTCCCTTCCCAGTAAGATTCCCAGCAGGTGCACTTGCTTTCCTTGTAGGCTTTTATGCTTTTTCATCTTTGTATGTTATTAATCTCTTTGAGTTTCATACTTTATAAGTACTTTCCTTCATTTTAGTGGGTTTTTTAAATATAAATTTCTACAGTAAGCTACTTCCACCAGCTAGCCTTAGTGATATACCAGTGTATCTGGTCCCTGAATTCTAATTACAGACATAGTTTAGTTCACAGAAGCTCTTTGGTAGAGCTGTCAAGCTCTACCAAACACTTCTGTCTGTAGGGGTGAGACTTTCCACATGAGTCAATTTTAGTGGAGCTTGAGTGAGTTGGTACTTGATGTGTGGAATGAGCTTACTGACATTCTGGCAAAAACCTCCAGGTTGCTTCTAATTAGAAAAATGTTTTTCTGTGTTATCAGTGTAAAACTAGATTAAGTGTGAGTCTTGTGGGCTCCTTCTTTCATCCTCCCTGATTTCTATTATCCTCTGCTACCTGCTGCTGTTACTCATTAACCTGCTGAGCTGTTATTATATCAAGGTATGTCTGGCTTGTTCACTGCCAAGTTAATAGGAATTTGGAAGATTTTTAGGTGTATTCTATAGCAATAGTTGCTGACTTTATAATGGACTGACAACAGAGAAATGTTTTTCCAAATAACATGGAATTACAGAAACACCAGACTCACCTGAAGAATGTGAAGAATGACTAATGATGTGAAATTAAGGCTGGATTAGTCTTGCATTGGTAGTTTAAGAAAGTGAGGAAGAAACAAAGGGATCTGATAACTCTTAAAATACTTAGGATTTTATTTTGAGCTTAAAGTAAGTACTCAATACCTGTTGATTACTGGAAAGGTTGTAACAACGTTTTGAAGAAATTATACTGAAGTATTATTAAAGAATAGTCTTTTGGTGTTTAATGTGTGTAGCAATGTGAGCAAAATCCCACACCATGATCAGATACTTGAGAGCACACAAACATACTTAAAAAGTTTTTTTGTCTCTTGTAGTTCAACGTACCTGGTTGAACGAGTCTGGCCTGTGCCAGTGAGTTGGAGCTACAGGATTGCCTAAGCCCAAACAGAATGGAGATGTGCTCTTACAGTGTCTCTACTAAAAGGCTTTAAAAACATGTTAAAATTCAGAAGGGAGTTCTTGTTTGCACAGCTGAAAAAGCCTTTGCCTTGAGTAATGTGCTTTGCACAGTAATACAGATAATTACCAAGGGTGGTTGTTCCCATCCATCTTGGGAACTCCTTACTAACTGAGAGTAGGATGGAAAAACAGTTAAGATAGTTACATCAAGTGGCTTGAATAACACCTTTGCCTTAAGCTGTTTGTGATGCAGTGCAGCTGTAATGAGTGGTGTTGCTCACATCACTTTACTAATGACAACAATATCATGTATGACTTCTGTCATTACAGTGCAGAAAGATGGTCTTTAATCATCTGCACAAATGTTTTGAGGGAAAGCGCATTCTGGGGCATGTGGCTTAAGTACATTCCAAATCTCTAGAAATAATTCAGAAGGAATAGTGTCTGTCTTCAGACAGGATGCAGATGTGATCCCCTATGTAGCCTTGCCTGTTTCTTGACATTTCTTATTTATGCCCTGTACATACTCTACCTCTTTTAATGGCATGAGACATCACTCTATAGTTGCAATGACAGTAATGAAATACTTGGTCATTGAATCTTCTTTTAATACTTACATTTGCTTGAATCTTTTAAACTTTTCTTTGAACCAGCCAGAACTGAACAACTGTACATTGAACAACTTATTCCCAGTCCTTGATGATATATACTATTTGAACTTATCTAAATAGGAAGAGCAAAACAAACTGGAAATGTAATGAACAATTTAAAATTAAGAAAGGAGAGGGATATTTCACAGATTGCATTACAACTCTGGTATAGTGTGCTGCACTTGTTCCAGGGGCACCATGACAGGGGCGATGTTTACTCAAAGTTACTTGCACTGTAACTTAGACACAGTTCAAGTGTCTGTAAGGTAAGTGAGCAAGGTGGCAGATATAAAAAGGATTTTCAGAATTTCTGTGTAATCTTTTTTGAGTTTGATTTCCTCAATGTTTGTTTTGTTTTCTGTATGTGGGAGAAGTATGAGTCTGTCTGATTCTCAATAAAGCAGTTGCAGAATGTATGTCAGACATGTGCAGCCACTTCCGTGGAGGAGAGGCTTCAAATGTGACATGAATACAAACATAAAATGTAGGGACCCAAATGTTTTTCTTAAGGAAAGCTTTGTATTCTCTCATATTTTTGTGCATTGTATCCTAGTCAGAGCATGCTTATTCTGAAGGATGGTGTTGCTTTCCATGTAAACATGATGAAGTCTTTTGGAGTACTTGCATCGCTGAATACAAATCCTTGTTCTGGTATAGCATACTCCTCTTTGGGAGGACAAGTAAATGAGGTGGGTGTGAGTATGGAAGCTATTGATGCATAAAGATGTGCTGCTACTGATTTAGCTAAGACTATTTCCATCTGAAGACTGATGAAACTGCTAAGTGAAGACAGATCCTACCATTTACTTCAATTGGGAGGGGGGAATCTTTCAA